GCAGACAGGGTGACTAGCTTGGGCTGTTAACTATTCAGCCTGCAGGCACGTCAAGGTTACAGGAAAAGAGCTGTTAGTGTTAACTGTAATGCTAGTCTTAATATTTGTCTTAATGTGTAAGGTTATGTCCAATTGTTTTAGATACACACCACGAAAACAACAGTCACGCACCTTGACTTTTCCTCATGTTTTGGCTAAACGTTATAGCAGCTGCAAGGCTTGCTTATCGGGTGACGTCACGGTTCGACAGCCCAGAAATGATTAATATTGTATAGCAATGCTTGGTTCGGGGTTTTTTTCTGCTTCCGGGCTGCTTGGGCAGCCTGGGGTTGGAAGATCTCTGGACTTGAAGTGTTGATTCTTGCCTGTGCCTCTTTGAATAAACCAGCACGGATATATTTTTTTTATATAATCAAGTGGTCTGAGTCGTCCCTCTGAGCTCCTGGTTTGAAAGAACCGGACGAGGCTTTATAATAGAATAGAGCCTTTAGACATATAAGCAAGGAGAATATTAGAAAATAACCAGGGCTCAGTAGTTCTGCACAATAACCAATACAGCTGTAATCAGGTAAGATAAAGTTATGAAAGGTAACTAAAGGGAACTAAAGGCATGAGAAGTAATTAAAGTCTATAAGACTCAAATCTTACACAAGTACAAACGTCATCAGCAAGTTCATGTCCTGAGGCATTGTGGTGCTATTTTGAATATAAGTCCTTTCTGAGGAGCATACAGTCGTGTTCTCTCTCTATCCACAGGGAGAGTTTCCTGTTATACTGAGCAGGAGCAGAGGGGGAGGCATGAGGAGGGGAAGTGGGAGGAGAGGAGAGAAGGAATGTCTGAGCCGGAGCATTGTTTGGTTATCGCTCAACCAGATAGAGAGAGAGAGAGAGAGAGAGAGGAGGGAGGGAAGAGTGGCTGTTCTGGGAAGTAGAAACTCTCTGAGACAGAGGTGTGACTTGTTGACTGAGCTGTCGATGGAGGAGCAGCTCTGACATAAGTTGATCGATTACAGAAGATTCATAGAGTGATTGGAAGATTTATCAGGTATTTTAAATTTTTGATTGGAAACCTGACAGCAAAACTGAAGACTGATCTACTGACTGGACATCGGGTTGGTCAGAGGACAGGACACCTTGCTAACTGATTTGGAGTCAGATTTCAAGACTGTTCAAATGGAAGTCTGATTGATCAGCTTTACACCAGATTAACTGATTGGTGGCCTGACTGAGAAGACTTCCTGCTTTGATTCCCTTCTTGACTGATTGGGAATCCTGGGAATCCTGACACCTGATTGGAATCCCATCGATTCACAGATAAGAGGCACTGTTGGAGTTTTTGTTGTTGGCCTCAGGATGAGCGGAGCCGGAGATGTGGTGTGTGAAGGTTGGCTACGAAAATCACCACCTGAGAAAAAGCTTCGGCGTTATGTGAGTACTTCACTTTTAGTTTTTAGCAAAAAAAGAGAAGAACTTAAAAACAACAACCAAAAAATTAGGTGTTGTCATAAGGACCCATCTCAGTCTTTCCTCTGTGTGTTTCAGTAAGTTAACTTGCTCTGAGATACTTCAGCTCAGTGCTGGCTGTTCCCATTATTGACTGATTTGACACCTGATTGTTTACACACACAGTCATTCCCTAAAGTTAAACAGTCATAATCATACACTAACAGAACATTGAGCACAACACCACTGTCAGCTGCTCCGACTGGACAGGAAGCAGTCTCGTGTTTTAGTCTTACTTTGGTCCACCAAAGTAAAGGTTTTTATAAAATGAAACTAACAACTAAGTCAACCTAGCTAGCATGCAAGCCAGATGTAAAGTAGTCAAATTGGAAAAATGTAGAAATGTACTGAATTGATCTGCATTTCTCAAACTTGGTAAACTTGCAAACTTTAACACAATTGCATATTTCACAAAGAACTGACAGCTTGGTTTCTAAACAGATATCCACAGTTTCCATTGAAACAGCTGGTTCTAACTGGGTAAATAGAAAAATGTTATGGCACCCTGCATCTTTCAGATCTGGAAACTGACAACCTGGCTGTGTTCCTGAAATGCCTACCATAGACTTGGGTAAATTTGCACACATTTAGTTTTTTCTACTTTGTCTCCCAGTATACTTGCACTGAGTAAGTGATATAAATGTTAATTCTTGGGTTGAGGTATAAATAGATCACAAGGATCTTTGTCCAGCAGCAGCACAGCTTGGTTACCAGTAAAGAAGCAGCTTAGGAAGTTACACTGCATATCTGGCATGCCATGCCAGTGAGTTGTGTTAATCTCATCTCTCCCCTTCATATTTTCCATTAATCCTTCTTCCTTTACAGAGAAAACTTTCCTCTGTTGTGGTTTTAGCGTACCTCATTGTCGCTCACTCTTTCTTTCATTTACTTTCTCTTCCATTCTCTTGTGAAATGTTTGCTTTCCTTACAGCCCCACAGAGAAAGGCAAAGGAAGAACTAAAAGGGCAGAAAAAAGGTTGTTTAGAGCCAGAAGAAGAGAAGTTCCCATTGCTACCACAGCAATAAAGAGCCATTGGGATTTTGCTGCCATGCTCATGGACAGCTGAACATTCCCCTGATCTGAACCAACAACCTTTGATTTGAGGAGAGTGAGTCCTCCCTCTGACAAAACGACGACAGACATTGAAACAAATGGCAGATGAAAGAACTGATAAAAGTTCTGTTTGAGTAAATAGTCTTATACTTGTTTAGCACTTTTCTATCGTCATTAGCCAGTGTCTGCAAACCAAAAGTCATTACAGGAATAAACATTTTTACACTGATGATTTGTTTGTGTTGCACTTTGTTACAAACGAAGTCTTCAGTAGACAGGAGTGAAGAAGAACAGGTGCAGGCTAGAGAGGAAGAAGACTAGAGTAGGATGAGCTAAGAGATGAGAAGACAAATGAAGAGTCCATCGTTCAGACTGTGCATATTCAGCCATGATGGTATACGCGCACACACACACACACACACACACAGAGCGCCCTATAATGGCTGCAGCAGGTTGTGTGTGTGTTTGTGTTAAGGCTCTGTGGAGCATACCTCATCATACGCTCCCTGTTCTGTTGAAAACTGACTTATGTAATCAACTAATCGCTCTCAGCTGGGCCTGGTTGGAAGAGGGGGCCTCCCTGAAAATTTAGATGATTTGGAAACACACACTGGACTGGAACAGAACCAAGGAGAATGACGAGGTGAATTCTGCAATCTTAAGTTAAACGCTCGACTGTCCTGTAATTCAGAGATCACAGTTTGGATGCCTGCAAAAAACAATAGTCAAAAACTGTCAAAAGGAAAGTGTTGCCTGCATTTCTGACAACTCAGCATTAAATGTGAAGAGAAAAAGAGGAATAATAGGTCAGTGGCTGAGGAAGTGAACAGCAAGTATTGTTATTTGTGTCTGGTGTTAATTTAGATTTGGAGGCAGGATGGATGAAGTGTTATTTTAGATCCATTGTGCCCTGTTCCTGTCAGGGTCAGAGATCAATGGAGGAAGCTAAATGAAAGGAGAAGAAAAGGATGGATAGTAGCAAAGAAATGCACAATGTGAAGTGAAATCGTGCTATGAAAACATATAAAAAATGAAGCGTTAAAACAAAATGTCTTAAGATGCTGGTCTTCTTTAAATGCTGACTTATCACTTTACACTTAGCCCAGTTAAGTGTTTAAGTGAAGTTGCACATCATGAAATTAATGTAAAGTAAATGAATAATTCTTTGTATGCTGAGAACTATTACTAAATTTCAATGTAGCTGTTATATAGCTACTGTAACTGAACTAGCCAACGTTCGGGTGTGATTGTTACCTATCCAACTGCACCAGCTAACAACTAGGTATAACTGTTACATAGCTAATTGAACTAGCCAACTGTCAGCTATAACTGCTTCATACAGTAGCTAACTGAACAAGCTAACTGGTATCAGTGGTATCCAGGTTTCACTGTTACATAGCTAACTGAACAAGCCAACCACTAGATATACTGTAACTGTTACCTAGTCAACTGAACAAGCTAACTACCAGGTATAACTGTTAGATTAGATTCGACTTTATTGTCATTACACATGTACAAGTACAAAGCAACGAAATACAGCTTAGCATCTAACCAGAAATGCAGTAACAGCAGTGCAGAGTGCACAGTATCTACAGTATGTACAGTACTAATTTACCGATATGTACAATTGATATTTACAGTAAGATATGCAAGGTAATGTACAATGTACAACAGACTTTATGGATTTAAATTACAAGTAATGTATAAAGAACATTAAGCTTATAAAACACTAGTGCAATAGGATGAAATGGCGCAGAATAAGAAGATAATGGTAAGTTACGAGTTAACAGTTCAGTGGATGTAAATAGTGCAAAGATAAAATTACAGTAACTGCGTATGTACTGAACAGTATGCAAATGAATACAGAGCAGTTTTCTGTGAGTATGTGCAAATTAACAGATCACTTCAGTGTTACAGGTAACAGAAGTGTAATGCATTAGTTCTGGGAGGAGAGATGGGATGTTACGAGGTGTGTGTAGTGGTATAGAAGAAGGTGGTGGGGGGTCAACGGGGGACAGAGTTCAGTAAGGAAAAGCACATTCCCATACCGGGAGTTGAACCCGGGCCGCCTGGGTGAAAACCAGGAATCCTAACCGCTAGACCATATGGGAATTATACAGGTTACATACATAGGTTAATCCAGTTCATCGAAATATTTGCAGAACTAAAGCTAAAGCTACTTAGATGCATAACTAAAACAAAGACATACCCTCCATTTACAAAAGATTGACAGATAAGTTTAATGTATTGCTGTTTCCTAAAACTGTGAAGTTTATGCAGCTTAAGACACTTAGGGAAGACATTTACATTTTAATGGTGCAGACTGGTCTAATCCCAGTTTATTGAGGAGTTACTAAGAACATAGGAAGGCCTTTACACAACAAATAGTAGTGGATTTTTAAATGGCTGGTGCAACCCGGTCCTTTAATTAGAAAATATTTATAAAATATATTTTTTAGAAAATATTTTTCTACTAGTTGCTGCTTTTATTTGGCCTGAAAACGACTGATGATCATCAGACTGAGGGAGACAGAGAATAAATGTACACATCTTCTGCCATCTCTTATTGGGATTTCCTGTTCAGTTACTTCCTCTTCCTGTCTGTGTTCGGAGTGAATGAGGGGAGGAAACCTGCTTTACACTGTTTAATTGCTGTGCACTTTGATCATGCACGCACACAGGGAGGAAAGCCTTTGGAGTCACGTTGGTTTTGTTGAGAAACACTAATAAACAGGGATCGGAAGCGATGATTTGGTTTGTTCAACTGGTGTAATCTCACCGTCACACACGTGCACACATTGTACTGTATTATCCACATAAACAAGTTCAGTTCTGTGCTTTGAATTAATCTTGTTCATCAATTCTTCTTTCATTTTGCAAAATGAAATTCTTTGATTTTATTAAACAGAAAAACTCTGAACATGTGGACAAATAATGTGTCGGTACACTTGCTGTTTACAGTTTAAATCCTTCTTCATGCTCTGCTTCACACCTTTAAATAATCATGACGTGTCTTTTGCACACACACCCTACATCCACAAATACTGTACATGCACACACACACACACACACACACACACACACACACACACACTAGGGGTGGTGAGTCATGTGTGAAATATGAGGTGTCATCCTGTGGATCACTCATGGGAGATTGACCCTACCCATAATGCTCAGCACATGATGGCTAAAATCAACATTAGCAATTCACTGTGTGTATGTGATGTTTAGTTAACATTCATGTGCACTGGAGCGTAAAACTTGCATCATGAGAGAGAGACACCAGCACTGTGTTAAATCAGAAAGAGAGAGAGAAAACTCTGACACTAAACTGACTAAACAATAATCTGTACATTTGTTTTACAAGACTAAATGTCTAAATGTTGTCCCCCACCCTGAGATTACAAATACTAAAGTGTTGCATACAACAAACATCACAACAGGGCTCATGTTCTGTGGAGCCTGAATGTGTTTATTGGGACATGAGTACAAAGGTAATATGTTGGACAGAACACGTAAAGAACTATTAGATTAAGGGGTTAAATCTGTTTTATTGTCATTATTTTGTCACTGGTTAAAACGTTTCTGATGTGCCCATGCAGACTTGATGAGGCTTTAGAAACAGTTTACATGTTTGGTGAAACTAGAAAACCACAGCCTGCAGGCGCCACAAGTGTCGCTTTAAATTTTTAGTCTTGTGCAGTTTGGATTTCTTGAAACCATTTGACTTGTCTTTTTCTCTCACATGTATCTTTGACTCCTTTTTCTGTCTCTGTTTGATCACAGTAATAATAATTACATTTCATGTCTAACTGAATTGTCTCATAATGATTTCAATGGTAGATACTGAGGGTTTAAACCTCTCTCTCTCTCCAGGCTTGGAAGAGACGGTGGTTTGTGCTGCGAAGTGGTCGGCTGACCGGGGAGCCCGACATCCTGCAGTACTACAAGAACCAGCAGTCCCGCCGGCCGATCGGCACCATCAACCTGAACCTCTGTGAACAGGTAAAGACACAGAAATGAACATGTCATTCTGTTTTACATATTTTTATGTTTCTGTCATTTCTCTCAAAGGGACAAACTTTGAACTTTGAGCTAAAGGTGTCATGTGCAGCTGTTCACATGTCTGATTCTGTGCCCGTCTCCTTCAGGTGGATGCCGGCCTGTCATTCACAAAGAAGGAGCTGGAGACCAGCTTCGTTTTTGACCTGAGGACCGAGGAGAGGACCTGGTACCTGGTGGCTGAGTCTGAAGAGGACATGAACCGCTGGGTGACGGCCATCTGCCTGCTCTGTGGCTTCAACCCGACTGATGATGGTACAGCAGAGGGATGGATGTGTGTGTGTGTGTGTGTGTGGGCTGTGGTTGAGTCAGTGTGAAAACTAGTGGGAGGGGAAGAGAGAACATGCAGAGAGAGAGAGAGATGTCTTGAGGATTGTGTGTTAGTGACTCAGATGTGTTTACAGTAAGTTATATTTTCATATCGTATCATAAAATACAGTATTATATACTATATACTGGCTTTGCTTTGATTTTGTCTTGTTTTATGATGATAGCTAAATCTTTACTACCCATAATGAGTCATTGTTTCTTTTTAAAGCTCATGTTTTGTTACCTTTTTATATCATTTGACAAACAGGTACTGACTCACGATGTGGACACGAAGAGCTCTGATTAGCCCGTAGAAAGAGCTGTACTATGGACTCACAGTCAAATGTTAAGCTACAGACACTGTTAAGGAATTTTTCCCTGAAGATCATGTCAAAGTACAACTATCATGAATAATGTACAGTAACAGGTAGTTTTGCACCTTTGGATTTCAGTTTATATAGACTTTCTGGAGCCTAACCAGTATTCATCATACTGGAACACGTTGGAGATTCAGGAGATTCATAGTCACAGTAAATTACACCTCATCTGAACACACTATTGAGCCACAGCAGTCAGAGATGATATTTGATTCAGTCATAGTGTTCACTTGTTTTCGCCTCAGAGGCTCATCATTTTGGATTACTTTAAACTAAGACAAATAATTTAATCCATATACATTTATCTCATTTAGTCATATTCCACCAGTTTACTTTACATCCCTACACCTGGTGTCCAGTTTATTAAGTACACTTGTAAACTCTAGTGCAGTCCAACACAGTAGCTCAGCCATAAATTCTACTTTTGACCAACACTGTCAGAAAGGGTTTAATTTAATGACATTCATTAATGAGGCTGTAGGTGTCTAATGTTGAACTTGACTGTATTATATTGAGAGGTTCTAGTAATGCTTTTCCTGTATTGTTTACAAAGATGAGGAAGGATGAACACTAGAAACACTTTTAAATATATAGTAATACAATCCAGTACAGCACCATGACTAACTGCCATCTCGGTAATCTCAATATAACTGGTTGAATTAACAGTTTTAACAACAACTATCCATGATACGCTTTGTGACTTGAGGCAGTTCATCTTCCTGCTTCTCTCTCTGTCCAAACACTAATGTTTGTTTTCATAAATGTCTCTAAGCCCCATGTTGGCAGGCTGAACTTTAGAGCAAACATTTCCCTTCAAACATGCAGCAATAATGACCAGCGCTAACACCCACAGTGCCCTGTGGGGAGACATGGGGAGTTGGAACATTCCTTCATAACGTTTTCCATTCCTGACCTATTGAACCTCTCATTTTTGTCATTTCCAGAGAGACCTCCTGCCTCAGGCTCGTCCTCCATCACCACGATGACCCCGACCAGTGGTACTGCCACCATCACCATGGTGGCGCGGTCTGTACCGCCCCCCTACGACCCAGTGAGCGTGCGACACCTGGAGCCTGATGGTAGCGCGGAGCAGGAATACCTGTGGTTGTCGCACTGCCAGAGTCACATCAGGTAAATACACTCCGAACCAAACACAGGAAACACAACAACAGTCTGAAGGGCCATTAAAACCTTTTTATAGTCTTCCTCAGCGGGTGGGGTTTACTTCTCTCTTCAGGAGTGGTTTTAGTTGACTTTAGGTTAAGATTATTATTGTTGTTATTTAATTTTGTTTTGTTTTCTAGTATGTAGTAACTGAACAAATTCATGGGAGAAAATATCCTGCCAACACTGCAGTGAGATGACGTGATGACTTAATAACATGAACGTCTTAATTAAATCTACTGACATGGGTTTTTGCCTCGAGTGGGGGTTTACAGATCTATATGTTAACACCTACTGTATATCCTAATTAAATGATATATTTTCAGCTAAAAAAATTAAAGAAAACATTTTGAAAAGATAATTCAAGACAAAATAAGCTTTAAACACAGGAGCCAAAATAAAACCGACCGTATTTCAGACATATCTTTACAAATCTTATAAACATCATATAGTTTAAGTTGAAAGTTGGACTCAGAGATATCAGAAAAAAATCTTTTTTGAGACAGTGTGTTTGCTTGGACTTGAGAGAAGAAGATCTCAGATCCATCCTGAAGTCTCAGTGACTGCACGTGCATTTAAACAGAATAATAGATCAATAAACTGTTTGTGAGTCATGTGAGATTCGTTTTAAAAGAATTAAGTTGCACAGGAGCAAAGTGAACATGAATGACCCAAGAATACGTTCAGTAAAGACAGGAAAGGAAACTTTTCCACTCAGGCTAGAGAAACCCAGCTGAAGGTAAATCAACCCCAGTAACAGTCAGAGTTACAGGCTCAGACGTGTCGTATCGAAGGAAGGGAATTAAAGGTTTTTCTGAGCCTGGATCACACCCACATGTTTCTTAAAGGGTTGACTCTACGAACCATCATGGGACAGGTCATCAGTCCACACACAATACAACCTTATTTTTTTCCCTTAGCTGGAAAGATTTTTATCTGTCCACATGGTTTTGGTTGTGCTGTACTGAGATGTGGGCGTGAGGTTGGACAGATCTCACTGCTTTGACTCAAAGCACAAAGAAACTGCATTAGAAAATGCTGACAACTTGTTTTTCTAAAAATCATCAGATTGCAGTGTGAACAGTTTCATTGAGAACTACTTTGTGTCTTTGTTTTAATGTGCTGCAGCATTACATTCTGACCTAACTGTCTAATCCTCACGTCTGTCTCCAGGCCTCCTCTAGGTTCCTCCACCTCTCTTGAAAATGACTGCAATGACAGCCTCTACCCTGCCTCCTCCTCTTCCTCCTCTTCCTCTCCTTCCCCCTTTCCCAACAGCCTGCCAACTCCATCTTCCTCCTCTTCCTCCAGCTTAAGGGCAGCCCCTTGGAATGTTGCTGCTATGACAGGCCCTCTCAGCCAGTCTCTGGATGCCAGTATGACCTCTGACCTCCAGAAAGGCAGGCCTCGCTGTCACCCCTCTCCCCATCCCAGGAAGCACTCTCTAGATTTTCACCTGAGTCCTGTGGCGATACCTCTTGGTGATGACACACACTCTGATGTGCAGCCAAGTTCACACTCCTACCCCACCAGTGGCTACCAGATCCCCCGTCCAGCATCCACCCCTCAGTCACGGCCCCCTCGCCGCCCGTCTTCGACCCCCAGCATGGACTCCCTAACCCAGGCAGAGCTCCATGCCTCCACCCCGACTCCTCCCCCACGGCCGCCAAAACCCCTGGCCGTCGCAACCCAGGGAGAAGGCCCAGCTGTTGGCTCAGGACCTGGCGCGCTGCCCCAGTCCACCTCAGAGCCAGAGAGGAGGGATGGATGTGTGGAGGGGGGAGGAGGTGGAGGTCTGCTGAGGGGCAACGCTGTCACTATGCCGGGACACACAGAGACAGGTTAGAAGACAGTAGAGTTATTATTTTATTTTGCTGAGTACTCTTCTTCTGGAGGCTCTGAAATTACTTTTTTGGTTTTGCCACAAGATGGCACCATAGTGAGCAAAGCAATAACAATGTTATGTTCAACTTGTTTACTGAATGACATCCTATGGGAAGTAGTTTCCACCTTATTACTCCAGTTCAGCCCCGAATGAAGGTGTAAGCTTTGATTCATTATGTTTGACTAATGAAGAAGAAATCAGCAAATCTGCCAGAACAGATCCTGTGGGCATGAGGTGCTTCTTCATTTGATGTTCACTGTTAATATTACAAAAAGACAGGCTTAATTATTGTTCTTGTTTTGTTTTTTTTAGCTCAAACAGCTAACGTAAATCAAAAACCACAGTGTACTGCTCACTATCCCGTTTATTGCTTTTATACGTTTTTGCACATTTAAAAATTTTACATTTGTCAGCACTTAACTGTTAACTGTAAATGTAGAACAAACCAGTATTATCATCATGTTTGTTTAGTTTGTTCACACTTCATAAACAGTTATTTAACAGATCTAGTTGTGTTATTTTAGTGCCTTATATCTTTGACTTAATGCTAAAGTTTCGGACTGAAAATGATGAACACACAGGAGTCTGTCAGCCTGACACTGCTGCTCACAGAATATTACATTAAGCAAATTGTAAATAACTTGATGAAAATAAACATTCTACCAAATTCAGTATTTAGGTAGAATAGCAGTTTGAAACCTGGTAGCTCAGTGCAGATCAGAGAGCACAGCAGTTCAGAAGAGGCTTTAGTGTGAGGAGCTGGCAGTGTTGCTGGATTATGTCCTTAGAGCTGAAACAGTTTGTACCTGTTTGCACCATAAGCAGACTGGCATTAGTGCCATTAATAAGAAGAGAACTTTGAACCACAAAAGCTTTGTTTCCAACTTGGCTGGTGAATATTTACATTGTTCTGAATCAGTCAATTCTCCAGTTTTCTTTCCTGATTGAGACACAGCTGTTTAAGAGCATATTTAGTACATGAGCCTCTGTATTCATACGTGCTCAGGCTTGATGCTTTGTGTACAAATTCTTTCTTTTTTAGTGACTGCCCCTTCTGTCAGTCTAAATTCAGATCTTATCAGTTGTCAGTCTGTCAGCATGACTCTAAATGGTGAACAAATGTTCTTACATATGGTTAACACACTGTATAATCAGGTCCCTTCCATGTAGAATTATGTAACGTTTTATGGCAAAGTTTGATATTTTGTGTAATGTTTTTCTTCCCTCTCTTGTCCTAGATGAGAAGATCAGTACAACGCGTGAATGTGTGTTAAATAATTCAGCTTAGCACAAAGGCCAAGGGAAACATTTCATGTTCTTGTGCCGATTTCTCCTGTTTCCAGGCTTTATGCTAAGCTAAGCTAAGCTTCTGGCTCCAGCTTCATTCTTAACACACACATGAGCTTGGTATCAATCTTCTCATTTAACTCTCAGTCAGATAACCCCCAAATGTTTGAACTCTTATCCTTTAGAACTGCACTGAGCTTCAGGTGGTTTACCGTATTATGCTGTGTGTTTCAGGTTGCCACTTTTTTTACATTCCTCGGTCTTTGTCTGACAGAACGAGTGTGTTTGAGTTCAGCGAGAGCTTCAACAGTTACTTTGTAAGTTGAAAGGTTTAAAACCTCAATAATAAAATACAATATCTGAAAGGATTTCCATTCCTCCATCCACATGTTTTACCTATTTATTAATTTGGATAATTCTCAGCAAATGATCAAAATGTCAGCTTCTATAAAATGTCTCTCTCTTAGTTTCTTGGTCTTTCTGTCTGTCAGTTTAATAAAGGCATGGTACCACTGGGTATTGTTTGCTCTGAAGACGACAATGTGGATGAAAACTACGTCCCGATGAACGCCGCCACCACTGAGTTTCCTGTTGCATCAAGGTTAGTGAGATGATGCATCATATATAGGATGAGATCATGTTCATGTAAAAGACTGGACCTTTTCAAGATAACCAACAAAAAGCACTGATATGTCTTTTTTGTTATTAATTAAATAGTTAAAGTTTTTAGTAGCTGAAACTAAAGTAAAACTGTTTTTATGTTTTTAAATAACAATGTATGCTTTAAAAGATCCCTAGAGGACCCTTAAAGATACCTGAACTGTCTTCATAGACCTTTGAAATCCAAAGATGGAACCCTTTAACTTCTTCAAATGTCCTTAAAGAATCCTAAAAAGAAATTAAGAACCTTGAGAATCCAGCCGAGAATACTTTTCAACTTTTTAAAGAACCATTAAACAGCATGAACTAGTAAAAACCTCTCAAAGACCCAGAAAACCCAAACTGAGGTCCCTGAAGCACCCCTCATATACACCCTGAAATAAACACCCTAATGGAACCATAAATAAAGACTTCACTTCAGAAACCATCACAATCCATTTAGACAAGTGCTAGAACACATTCAAAGGTCTTCTAAAACCCTCTTGAATCATCCAAACCTCATCAAATGTCCTCAAAGAATCCCAAAACACTCGTAAAAGCCCAATATTAAACTGTGGGACCCCTTTCGACTTAACTAGAACAACGTAACCAAGTGGCAGAGTTCCTTAGGGATCCCTGGACTTTCTTGACACTTTATTCAGGGCATTTAAGTTGCTAATTTCTTATCTTCCAGGGTACCTCCACCTCCTCTCTCTGACCCTTCTGTCCAACTCCAAGATGGAAACTATCCAGTTGTCCCTCTCCCCCCACCACTCCAAAGGAATATTACAAACACTGCAGGTGGAGCAGAGGTCGAACCAGTGCCGCCTCCAATCCACCGTAACCTGAAACCACATCGCAGAGGTGAGTAAAGGTATATATCAGGAAATCAGCTT